TAAGGCAAAGGTCTCCAACCTTTTGGGCATCAGGGACCAGTTCCATGGAGAGAGGTTTTTCCACGGACCGGAGGGTGCATGATTTTGTGTGCTGCCTGCATCCCACAGATGGGGCTTTGCTTGTTTGTGCGACCCAGTTGCTGGCATGCCACAGCCCGGTACTAGTCCACGGACCCCTGTCCTAAGGAAAGCTGAAGTAAAACGTAAGCACAGTCGTGGTCATGTGATTTTCATTAGCAACCAAGTTACCAGGACAAACTGCAATCACTAATCAAGTATTACCCGTACATGATAGAAAATGCACAGGATGTTCGGAGTTCTAGAAAAATTGGGGGCTAATGCACCAGAGAAAATTCAAGAGGTCAATAAAAGACTTCAGACTCAAATTATAAAGAACACAGAACCTGCAGAAAGGAAAAACCAGTGAAGGGGACAACTGCAAACAAAGAGAAACTAAATATAATTAACAGTGGGTCTACTTATGAAACCCATCCTAATGGAAAATATGTCAGAGATAATGTCATCTGGTCCATCTGCACTTCTCATTTACAGAGGTATTTTCACACATTACTGAAAAGCATTAGCCAGCAATCTCTTCACAAATAATGTAACAGCTTCTATTCAGCTTTCCTTTTTACTACATTAGAGGATTTCATTCATTCCTTAGAGAGAGAGAAAAATCTAAGTGGTTGCTATCTTATTAATCGGTTATCAGATATTACACCTGTAAATAAAGTGTGTTTTGTTATCCATGAGTAAGTATTACTCATAATAGGGTCTAAAAATGAATTGGTCAGGATGCTGATGAAATAACATCAAGGGCAAAGCTTCCAGTTCACTTGACTCAATCTCAGATATATCATTTACTAATGTATTGATACTGTCAATCGCTTATTGTGGAAGAACTGAATCCTTATGTAAACTGATCCATGGCTTCGATCTTTGAGAAAGACAAAGTTTAAATGTAGTAGAAAATATAGATGATTAATTGAACTTCAAGTTTTCAGCTTTCTTATCATGAGACTTTCATAGGAAAGCTTGTGAAAGTTTAACGAAGAGAAGGACAAGGGGGGGACATGATAGCAGTATTCCAATATCTCAGGGGCTGCCATAAAGAAGAGGGAATTAAGCTATTTTCCAAAGCACCTGAAGGCAGGACAAGAAGCAACGGGTGGAAACTAATCAAGGAGAGGAGCAACCTAGAACTAAGGAGAAACTTCCTGACAGTGAGAACAATTAATCAGTGGAACAGCCTGCCTCCAGAAGCAGTAAATGCTCCAACACTGGAAGTTTTTAAGAAGAGACTGGACAGCCATTTGTCCGAAATGGTGTAGGGTTTCCTGCCCGAGCAGGGGGTTGGACTAGATGACCTCCAAGGTCCCTTCCAACTTTACTACTATTATTATTATTATTAATGATATGATATGCAGCTTTACCTGGACTTTGAATGGCATGCATGGATCATACCCCAAAGTGGACTGGGAGGGCCAGAAGAAAAAAAAATGATGTTGATTTACATTTAAATTCAAGGAAAATGGATTATTTAATATGGCTACTTCCTATAAATTAAATCATTTCTGTCTTCTATTTTACTTAAAGTTATAATTTAATGGCAATTTTGGGAAATGTGGTAGCCACCAAAGCCTACATGTGTGCTGCATGTAAGTTTGGGTGCCTCCAGCTTTATTTGACAAAGTACATAACTCTTTTTAATCCTTGGAGGAAATGGTCATTCAGCAGATCACTTTCGGTTCCCACTGACTTTTTATGCTAGAATATAAAATCTTGTGAATACTGCATATAATATTATTCCATTTATATTCTAGAGCAGTGGTTCTCAACCTGTGGGTCGGAACTCCATTTGGGGTCGAACGACCATTTCACGGGGGTCGCCAAACAACGCAGTCCGCCATTTTTTCCCCCTTTTCCTTAGCTGTGCTACTCCCTTTTATTCTATTGGCTTTTGAAAGCCAATAGAATAGACTCTCTTGAATATAGTCTAATTCTATTGGCTTTCAAAAGCCAATAGGAATTGTCCAGGCTGTCTCTGCCCTGCTGAGCCCGCCAAAAGTCCCATTCTGCAAACGGTGCTGCACCAGTTGAGTAGCCCTCGACTTACGACTGGTTGAGTAGTCCTCGACTTATGACCGGTTGGGGGGGGTCGCAGCATTAAAAAGGTTGAGAACCACTGTTCTAGAGTCAAACACTGAATACTAATTCTGTAAACTGCAATCCCCAAAATATAGAAAGGGCACCAAATTCAAGAAGGCTAAAGCTACGAAGTATGGGATGGAAAGTTCTGAAAACCACAAGATGGTGGCAAAGAGAATATTCTGCCTCTATCTAGTGCCATCTAGTGGCAATCTGGATCTTTCCAACCCAAAGATTCTTTGGTAGCCCCAAAGAATACTTTTTTTAAAATCAATTTTATTTTTGAAGAAAACTATATATACATTGTCCTATGAACTAGATTATTGAATCCTTAAGAGTTACTTATAGGTGATTATAAGTCACACTAAAACCATTTATGAATTAATCCAATGGATTTAAGGAGGAGAAAAAATGCTTATAGTGGCTTTGCCAGGGCAAAGGTACAGTGTAAGAATCCAGCTGTTAATTATATGTTCAAAACATATTCAGGTGATTACTGTCAACTGTGATGATAATACTGCATGACAGCATCCCATCTATCTAAATTAAGGAATATAAACTGCTAGCTAATTATACCTGTGGGGAGTGATTTTTTTACTCATTCAGTCAATCAAAGTCACTGGTACTTTTACTTATATATAAAGAATGACAACTGTGTCAAGTTTGTTGCTATTATTGCTGTTCCTCAGCAACAATAATTTAGGATAAGAATATTGAAGAACTAAGTTTGTAGAAAGTTAAATGCTCTCTAATTTAAATTGTAGTCTTTCTTCCTTTCTTAAAGGAAGACTTTTCAGATGACATAGTTGACAGAATTGGTGGTTTGAAAGGCAATCTGACCCTCTTTTTACAGTAATTGATCTGGGATAACTGATTTTGAAGACCCAATTCCATTTATTTATAAACTCAGAGATGTAATCAGGATACAAATTAATTTGAGTCAATTATCTTTGAGAGGTTAATTCTTTGGTAAGATGTAGAAAACATTCTTTTGAGAGTAAATTTCAGGGGTTCAGACTTCAGAACAATTCATGACAGCTTTTGTCTGTCATCAAAAATAATACATGTAGGACTAACATGGTCATTCCACCAGATGGAAAGAAAACTCAGGATAGAGCCTTGTACTGCTGGAAGCACACTGGGTCTTTTAAAGGAAGCAAATACGGAAGAACTGTCTTGACATTTCATTCATTTTTTAAAAAAGTAAATGCAATTTTTAGCTTCCTTTGGCTTGCAAATAGTTTTATAGTTTTAAAAGACACCATCTTAAAAACTATGTGAAATTGGAAAACTGCATTGACAAAGCAACTTTTAAAACAAGGCATAATTTTAAGGACAGACATATCTTTCTCTCTATAGTTTTGAGATGAAAAAGTACAGTGTCCACTAAGACTAGGGAAAAAAATCCTAACCAGAATAGGAAGAAAGAGTGAAATCTACCTTTTTCAATATTCTTATAGATTTGAGGAAATTGAAAACTTCCTTCTGAATTAGATTACTGTAATATTTATTATTTCTTGCTATATTTATTTCAGTGGGATAGATTAGATATGTGAGCATTAGAATGGGCAAAGATTATGTCTTATTTACATATCAATTAAGATGATCGCCAGTCTCAGTCATGCAACTCTGGGTACTAACAGGAGTTAAAATATAATAAAAGCCTAATGTATATTTTAAAAAAACCAACCATGTCTAGATGACTAACACAGAGTGGCTTTCCTTCTCTTTCATGACAATGAGATACCAGTATTGCAAGTGATATGTGATTTAAGAGTTCTTATCAATGAGAACCTTTCTTTAAAATCTCTGAGAAATCCACAAGGACCAGCAATTTTTATCTTCTGAATATCCAGATAATTCAACTTGTTACTGTTAAGATGGATAATTAGTTCACACTTTGATGGTTATTTTTGTTTTGTTATTTTGTTGTCTGGGACTCCATTCTTCCCTTCAGATTTAGAACAGTGTGGAGGACTAGCACTTAAACTGACATATAAGAGCACTCGGCTAATTGAATAAGTTGACTGTCATTCATATTTGTGAATTAGTTTTGCATATGTCGGAATAGCTACCTCATGTTTCAGAGTTTTCTCCCATCTAGCTCTGCATTTTGGAATTGGCTTTCTCTCAAGCTACATTTTGAGTCTAATTACCTGATAAATATGCCTATAAAAATGCTTCTTTTTTCAGTATCATTTTGAAGCTGGAATAATAATTTGGTGATTGCAGTGGCTGATACTGGTTTAAAATATGCTAGTGCTGGAGTTATTATAATGTTATATTGTGATTCATATTAGTATTGTATTTTATTCTGCTTGCACTCCACTTAGGTGTATACACATACAAAATAAAAATATTACTATTTCTGCTGTTACTATTGCTTCTTCTAATTTTGAATTAGTTAATAGATTTTTATGTATCAGATGTATTTTCTGCAATACATCAAAGATGCATAGGCTATAGAGTTAAGAAAAAAAGATGTCTAAGATTTATAAATCTGTGTATTCAAATCCTGATATAAGTATTGTGGTTTGTAGGCTAACAATAAACTAAACTGACTACAAAAATGTATATGGTTAATTCTTTTTAGCTATGTGATAGAAACATAAACCTACAACCTACAATGACAGAAATAATTATTTAATTCAGAAAGGGTGCAAAATAAAACTGAACAGTATTCAAAGGCATTGAAAAATGATGCATTATTCTAAAACAACTTGGTATAATTTTCTTTCTTGTCCCTGACATCAGTAGATATTGCACACAGCTGTAAGTCATGTGTAGCCCTGGGAGGCATTTGCAAGTGGCTGAAATTCAATTTTGATGGAGCAAACTTCACAACTCACCCACAATTTTCCTCTTCATTTGCAATGTGTTTACTGAATATGCTGCAGAAAATCAATCATAGAGTGTTTCAATGTGGTGCAAATTGGTGGAATCACTTCAGCCATGAAAATACTCTATCATCTTCTATGACCATCATTATTTCTGAAAAAAAAGAAAAGAAAACAGTATTGAAAAGACAGGAATTTATATTTAGAAAATGCTTTTGGGTAAACTTTTTCAACTTAGGATTGCTCAAGAGATAGCAGTTATATACTTTTCTGCATTATACTGTAATATAATGGATGTTCAGAAAATCTAAACAGGTTGCTGTTTTGCCTCTGAAAAATACTTAGATTTCTATAAACATTTTTTGACATGACAGCAAACAAAAATAGCCACTATACTTTAAACACCACTATGATCAAAAGAAGCTTCAAGAAGCCACTCAATGGGACTATTCTATATAACTAACATTGTTATTGCTATTCTGTATTACATACCAATCTGAAGAAATTCGTTTCGATTCATTATCAAACACTGAAACTCCAGATATTGAATGGAAGAGTTTTCATGTTGGTTCTGGGATGCTGTGTTTTAGCCTAATACTGTTCTTCATGGTATGTAATATTATGAAAATATTCTGTACCAGGCTGAGCAAACTAACAATCTAGCTGGACATGGTTGCTTCTGAGCGAATAAACTCTCTTAATAGAGTTCCCTTTCTATTTCATTATTGTTCTGCCTCTTGTTCCATAAGCATCCTCAAAGGAAGCTTACATAAATTACACAGGGGCTGCTACTTCAGATTTACACTGTGAACTAGCCAATCACATTTTTCTTTGATATGTTGTGTGAATTCATCTCATGCAATTTATTTACACCTCAGTATATCATGCAAAGCCAGATATATTGTTATGGCATCAACATGGATATGAGTAGAGAGCCCATCCAGCTGCTCAGAGATAGCATATGATATCTCTCCTACTCAGTTCTGTCTAACCTATGTGTCAGGATACAGAATATAGAAAAATAGAGTTGGAAGGGATCTTGGCGGTCTTCTACTCCAATCCCCTGCTCCAGTGAGAGACTCTATATCATTTCAGACAAGGTGCTGTTCAGTCTCTTAAAAGCCTTCAATGGTGAAGCACCCACAACTTCTGAAGGCAAGCCGTTCAACTGGTAAATTGTTCTCACTGTTGGGAGTAACTTTGTTAGGAATAACACTGTTCTCCTAAGAGTGACACTGTAACACTGTTAGGAGAACACTTTTAGGAGAACAGTTCTCCTACTCTTATTTCATTTTATTTCATTATATTTCATTACGGTCTCTTAAATTCAATTGGTAAATTGCCTGGCAAGTACTTCTTTAGAATGCCACTCTCACCTCCCAACCCACCAAAAAGTTTTCATTTGCTTTTATTTAATGTACTTCTGTGTTTTTCTCTCTAAATGGCATATCAAAGCAATTAACATGCATGTTTTATAGGACATAATATTGAGAGTTTTCAAATAAAAACCCACAGGAAAGAAATATACAGTAGCACCTACTGAGTAAAGCTTAAATCAGCAACTGTTAAAGAGCAACATCTGCTTGACTGAGCAATTTTTTTTTACCTACCAACAGAAGAACATGGGGGAAGTTCCTATTTTTGTTTGTTTGCTTGCTTGTTCATGTGTTTCAACATTACTGGAGCTTTAATTCACCTGTTTCTCAGAAGCTGTGGCATTATGCCAATCTAAGAAGTCAAACGTATTTGGAAGAAAGTGCATAAATGTACATGTAAAAATATATATATTGCCACATGCTTAAGGTGGAATTAGATAGAAAAATGCGGGTTAGACAGCACCACCAACAGATGGATCTGTAGCTGGCTGACCGGCCATACTCAGCGTGTGGTCCTCAACATGGATGGCCCAGGGCTCTGTTCTGGGCCCAGTGCTCTTCAACATCTTCATCAATGATTTGGACGAAGGGATAGATGGGGAACTCATCAAATTTGCAGACGACACCAAGCTGGCAGGAATAGCCAACACTCTAGAAGACAGGCTGAGGATACAGGAAGATCTGGACAGACTGGGCGCTATCTAACAAAATTAAATTCAATAGTGAAAAAAGTAAGGTTCTACATTTAGGCAAGAAAAACCAAATGTACAGGTATAGTATAGGGGGTATCTTGCTCAATAGTAGTAACTGTGAGAGGGATCTCTGAGTCCTAGTGGACAATCACTTAAATATGAGTCAGCAGTGTACTGCAGCTGCCAAAAAAGCCAACACAGTGCTAGGCTGCATTAACAGAGGAATAAAATCAAGATCACGTGAAGTATTAATGCCACTTTACAATGCCTTGGTAAGGCCACACTTGGAATACTGCATCCAGTTTTGGTCACCACGATGTAAAAAAGATGTTGAGACTCTAGAAAGAGTACAGAGAAGAGCAACAAAGATGATTAGGGGACTGGAGGCTAAAACATATAAGGAATGGTTGCTGGAATTGGGTATGCCTCTAGTCTAATGAAGAGAAGGACGAGGGGGGACATGATAGCACTGTTCCAATATCTCAGGGGCTGCCACAAAGAAGAGGGAGTCAAGCTATTTTACAAAGCGCCTGAAGGCAGGACAAGAAGCAATGGATGGAAACTAACCAAAGAGAGAAGCAACCTAGAACTAAGAAGAAACTTCCTGACAGTTAGAACAATTAACCAGTGGAACCACCTGCCTCCAGAAGCGGTGAATGCTCCAACACTGGAAGTTTTTAAGAAGAAACTGGACAGCCATTTATCCAAAATGGTATAAGGTTACCTGCCTGCGCAGGGGGTTGGACTTGATGACCTCCAAGGTCCCTTCCAACATTATTATCATTATTATGGATCATCGCACAGTCAGCCAGATGTTCAGACTGGATTTGGCATTTTGTCTACCTATCGAGTCCTTAACCAGGACCTGGGATAGGCAGATGTGGATATTTGATGGTATTATTATTATTATTATTATTATTATTATTATTATTATTATTATTATTATTATTGATCATCGCACAGTCAGCCAGATGTTCAGACTGGATTTGGCATTTTGTCTACCTATCGCGTCCTTACCCAGGACCTGGGATAGGCAGATGTGGATGTTTGATGGTATTACAGGTATCGTCGCAGGATGGAAGCAGTTCCTAATAAGGCCGCCTTTTGCAATTGACTAATAGCGAATTTGTCAATGCCAATGGTGTTCAAGTGGTGCTCCATTTGTTTTGGGATTGCACCCAAGGAGCCTATGACTATTGGTACTACCCTTGCTTGCTTTTGCCACAGTCTTTCTATTTCTATTTGTAGGTCTTTGTATTTTGTTATCTTCTCCAGTTCTTTCTCTTCTATTCTGCTATCTCCAGGCACTGCCACATCCACTATCCAGACTTTTTTGTCTTCTTATCGACAATTGTTAAGTCTGGGGTGTTATGTTGCAGGTGCTTGTCTGTTTGAATTCTGAAGTCCCAGAGCAGTTTAATTTTATCATTTTCTATGACTTTCTCTATTTTATGATCCCACCAGTTTTTGCTTACAGGCAAATGATATTTTTTGCAGATCTTCCAATGCACCATTGTTGCTACTTTGTCATGCCGCTGCTTGTAATCAGTTTGTGCAATCTTCTTGCAACAGCTTACCAAGTGGTCCACTGTTTCTTCAGCTTCTTTGCATAGGCGGCACTTACTGTCTGTTGCTGTCTTCTCAATTTTGACTTTGTATGCATTTGTCCTTAAGGCTTGGTCTTGTGCAGCCAGAATTAGTCCCTCGGTCTCTTTCTTCAATTTTCCTGCTCTTAGCCATTGCCAGGTTTTATCATTATCATTATTATTATTATTATTATTATTATTATTATTATTATTATTATTGATCATCGCACAGTCAGCCAGATGTTCAGACTGGATTTGGCATTTTGTCTACCTACTGAGTCCTTACCCAGGACCTGGGATAGGCAGATGTGGATGTTTGATGGTATTACAGATATCGTCGCAGGATGGAAGCAGTTCCTAGTAAGGCCGCATTTTGCAATTGACTAATAGCGAATTTGCCAATGCCAATGGTATTCAAGTGGTGCTCCAGTTGTTTTGGGATTGCACCTAAGGAGCCTATTACTATTGGTACTACCCTTGCTTGCTTTTGCCACAGTCTTTCTATTTCTTTTTGTAGGTCTTTGTATTTTGTTATCTTCTCCAGTTCTTTCTCGTCTATTCTGCTGTCTCCAGGCACTGCCACATCCACTATCCAGACTTTTTTGTCTTTCTTATCGACAATTGTTAAGTCTGGGGTGTTATGTTGTTGTTGTTGTTATGTGAAAATAGAGTGCAATTATATTTTAAAAGAAAATAAATCACTTAAATACAAAATGCATACTTATATACCAAACCAAGCCAACTATATTTGACCTAGTATCTTATTTAATCAGATAAGAAAAGGGTGAAAGGACAATTAAGAAATAAAAAACAAAAAACAAAAAATCAGAAAATGAGATTTAAGCATGGATTCTAATTAGTAGAGGGGGAGTGGTGGCCTAGTAGTAAAGACACTGGGCTTTGTTGACTGGAAAGTTGGCAGGTCAAGATCCAAGCACTGCATGATGGGCTGAGCACCCATTCTCATCCCAGCTCCTGCCAACCTAGCAGTTTGAAAGCAAGCAAATGCAAGTAGCTAAATAGGTACCACTTTGGGTACTCCATGCATATAGTCTTGCCAGCCATATGACCACAGAAGTGAGTTCAGTGCTGGCTCCCTTGGCTAGGAAATGGAGAGGAGCACTGCCCCTAGAGTCAGACATGACTGGGCAGTTGAAACCTTTACCTTTACCTATCTTCTAATCCAGCGGTTCTCAACCTGTGGGTCGCGATCCCATTTGGGGTCGAACGACCATTTCACGGGAGTCGCCAAACAACGCAGTCTGCCATTTTTTCCCCTTTTCCTTAGCTGTGCTACTCCCTCTTATTCTATTGGCTTTTGAAAGCCAATAGAATAGACTCTCTTGAACAGAGTCTAATTCTATTGGCTTTCAAAAGCCAATAGGAATTGTCCAGGCTGTCTCTGCCCTGCTGAGCCCGCCAAAAGCCCCAGTCTGCAAACGGTGCTGCAAGGCAAACATTCTGCAAAGCTTCCATCCCTGCTGAGCAACTAAAAAGTAA